GATTTGTGGTTTTGTAAAGGACCAAATTTGAACGGTTCCAGTTTGCTGTCGGGCTACATGAAATATGAGTTCCGTTGGGGTTCTTTCGGCTTCATTAACCATTTTAGATTCCTGAGTGAGTCACTTCGATTGGTGTTCTCTCCGATCGGTTAGATAAGTAATGATTACGGCAATGACGTAACTAACCTAATAACAATAGATGAACTGGTGAGTACGGTGGGATGTCTGTGTTCTCGATGTTCTGTATTTGATCTGTGAGAAGGAGTGGTCATTTATGGAAGGCGATAGGTGTTTATACATGTTGTGTTCATAATCACTTGACAGACAGATAACAAGGAGGTGATTTATGCACCCCTGAGGATGGGTATTCAGCTTTCACATAACTAAATAACACATTCTCATAGTGGGGGAGGGGGAACACAATCACTGCTAGAATATAGTAGGTTCTGATTATTTACTGGTTCAATTAACCTTTAACATGAGGTATTGCAGTTTCGAGGTTGTTTAAAAGCCTTTCTAAGTGCAGAAAGGTGAAACTGCCATAGGCTTGGGTGCACAGATGAAGGTGTATATAATTGGAACATGTGGCAGAAGAAGAAGCGCATTTAATTATGTGTTCATAAATAGGGCGATTAAAATCGGTAAGTATTTCGTGGGAAGCTTTTAGGAAGTTTTACTGTGTTGGGAAAAGACGATTTGAGTGGACTGCTGTCATTTTATATCCCTAAAAGTGGATAAGAACTTGAGGGATCTGGAGATTACTTTGAAGTCTTTGGACAACAGACCCGTAAGAAGGACAGGAGAGGCACAGATCCACTGAGGTAGAACAAATGAAATACATAGCATTTGATAAGGTGATTTAGTACAGAGTGGAATTTAAGACGGGATACATAAAAGAACAAACATCTGGCATTTGTAAAACTGTGGCATACGTGCTATGGTCAGGTAAAGCTTCTGTCCAGTGTCACGCCCGTAGTGTGTGCATTGTGTACATGTATGCGTTCGATCGAGCGCTCCTCGTGATCTGTCTGACTCTCTTTCCCTGTGCTTACGTACGATACCATGATTGGTTGTTCATGTCCATTCACAAGGTCACTGTAAATTGATTGGTTGATTTGTCCATAATGCTCGCGTAGTCAGTGTCTGGCACGGATTACATGCATGCTTGTTTACGTACGCTACGAATGCTCCGTGTTCTGATTGACAATACAACAACACTAATGTAATTCACAGAATCATAATGATTCAGTTTTTCCTTATGAACTGAGGCCAGAATACATCAGTCAGTGGAATCGGAGTACATTTGGCCTATCATAAGTGAGGAGAGAATGTCTTCACATCTGAGGGATTGATAGCCAAATTGTGTGTAGCCGACCACTCAGAAAAATCCGTGATGCCACTCTGAATGGTGGGATAGAAAAGTTACAGAAATATGGCGAGCTAAGAAGGACATGGTGAGCATACTTAATGGGGAGGCTATAGTCTTGGGTGGGGATGGAAGACTGATAGGCTGAAAGCAAAAACGGTGATAATATGGTACCATAAAGGACATCAAGGGCGGAAGTAACATAAGCAGAGCTGGTGCCATTGTAACAACTACCGAAAAATTCACTCCAAAGAGAAATAAGAGGAGACTCAAGACTTAAACTGATACAATTAAAGGTTTCACTGTAGCTCAGGAAGCAAATCCTAACTACTTTACTCTTTTTATCGTGACGAGAGAATGCTATGTACCAGGAGGACAAAGGCATCAAGGGTGGACCGTCAAGAACGACAGGAAAACTTGTAGGGGTCTGAAATATTTAGGGAAAACTACACATGTGCGATGACTAACTTTTCAAACATTTTCAAAGCTATTGAGATGAAAGTAGTGGGTGGAATTGAGAAGAATCCTTCTTAAAAGTAGAGGTGATGGTCGCCAACCCATTAATACTCCCTACTGAATGATGGGTTGGAATCTTCGATTTCTACACCAGCAGGCTTGCGTACGAATGAACCTCCATAATAATATTCTAGCAATCGAAATGTTTCTTTATAGTTTTATGTTCCAAGAAGTTGTGTGTATACATGTAATTCAGTCTGCATAGCTCTGTCCTAAATAATTTCATTAGGCTCTCGACTTCTGTGTAATCCCTATGTTTAGGCATATTCTTTTCGGTGACGTAGTCGTTTGAAGTTATGGGATGAGAATTGATCGGAGTGAATGTGATGAGTCTCGATGGATTTGTAAAGGTTGGAACAAAATGAAAACAAGTTGTAGGATGATCCCGAGATACAGAAATATCGGAGTGTGGGAAAATAACAAAGTCAGTTTGGATAATCATTTCATTTAACATCATTATGTTCCTCGAAAATGCCTGCCTTTTTGAAGCTTCGCGATCGCGGCATTACATGAAGTGTCGATGGTTTGTGTGGCTATAAATCTTAGGCAAACCCTAGATGATATCGTGATCGGCTGAGCCAACAGGAGAACGACACGAGGTGGAGAAATATTTACACTATTGACATGGAAAATATCTAGGAAGGCATCCATTCTAGTTGAAACATTGACACTGTTTGCAAGACCGAAATGATAAAAGGAACACGGTCAAAACGAGTAAAATCACCAGAAACTATGCACAAAGAAATGTCTGTGTAGTCTACTAGAACTTGTAAAAATGGAAACAACAAATGATTGATGGCCATCGGCAGAACAATTGGATGACATATAAACATTTACAAGCACAAGAGAGCGAAAACCACTCAAAATGTTTAAGCTTGCTTTTAATGACAGGGAAACTAGTCTATACTGTTGAAAACATAAACACGAGCATGCAATTTTGGTAACAATGATTGTTGATATGTGTGATAACTCCACCACCCCGCTTCCGTTGTGCGACAGAACGATCCAGACGATACCCGGTGAAAACACTTGGCTCAACCATTTCATCGGCAATGTCACTGAGAAGCCACGTTTCTTGTAGTAGGACTACACTCAGCTAATATTAGTCATTAGACCCAATAAAGTCCACGTGTTGATGATTGATAGACTTGGACAATGTTTTTGAGATGATTCAAAGTTTAAAGGTCTGACAATACCGAAAAGTTACTCAGTACGAAAAGAATGTTGTTGCTAATCTTCACGGGACGGCTGACGTTGTGTATGGGTGTTTCACGAAGGCAAGCTCTGTATTTTCTAGGATCGCCTCTGGAAATCCTGAGAAGTCTTTACCATTTATTCTTTACCATATTTTCGAAAGGAAACAAGCAGCCAGATGCAGTTCCCCCAATGAAGGATTTCAGCAATTCATTAGAATATGTTATCATGGGTGGCAATAATCCGATTGTACAACAGTTATTTACAGTCATGGCCAATAAGCAGAACAGTAAATTGGAGAAATTGTAGGTGGTTTTGTGATAAATGTTGAAGGTGGTGGAACAGCGCGGTTACATTTAAAGGCCCCGCAGTAGAACACGAAATTTTTGTACTTCATTTATTTGTATCGATGTAAATGTAACGAGACCGCAGCTGGTGAGCAAGCCGCGAGCTAGTAATTAAGTAAGCAAGTGAATGAGCAAGCAGATGGAAGAGCTAAGCTGCGTATGCTCATAAACGTTGCCAAGTTATATCAGTCGATACATAGGAAGTTCTGTCAATCAATACTGTCCGCCCTTAAGCATGACAAAAGATCAATACCAAACGGGAATATGTCCATTTGCGAGGAAAATGTTGAATAATTGTCCGCGCAGTATGAGTGACTCTACTAGAAAAAAAAAAGTGAACAATCATGCCTTCGAAACAAATGGCTCGACGTTTGCTCATTGTCTTAGCAGACACTTCCCCTTTGTTTATCTATGTTACCCTCTAAGGGTATTTTTAATTTTTTACGTACAGTATTCTTTCCAGTTAGTTTTTCCCTCAAGTTAGAGGACGGCAAAAACTGGTTTTCATGAATGCTGTCATTTATTGTGTGCCTACAGATGTCGCAAAGGAAACACACCACTGCACTATGCTGCAATGAACGGGGATGTAAAAACTTGTTCCATCCTTCTGACCACAGATCAGAGACTTCTAAATGAGAAAAATGGGCTCGGAGTGAGTAACCCTTGTTTCGCATTATCCCTGGTCTTACGAGATTGGCTGAAGTGAAGCTGAGTAGTGGGATAAATTGGCCGGTTTTTCGATTCCTCTTCGTCCATGAACAATAAAACTGTTCACCTTTTCAGATGACTGCGCTTCACATCGCCGCGATGCACAAGAAAGATGAAGTCACCGAATATCTTCTCACGGCGGGAGCCAAAGTTCTACCTGATAACAGAGGTATCTACTTCACTACACACCTGTTCAATCAGGATAATTATCTGGCAGCCAAAGTGGTTACCGAGCACAAACGGTGAGATGAAATATGAGTGTCGTGAACATGTTTGCATTCAACAATTTGTCATTAGAACATTTTGGTTTAGATCCACTGGTTAGTAATTGAAGAAATTTTGTATGAATTACTTTGTCATGCAATAGCAGAGCCCGTCATTGACAAGTCTCAAAAGTATTGTACAGCCTGCATCCTTATTAGGAATCAGGAGCAGCAGTAGTTGTTCAAGTTTAAACCATCCAAATCCCCGATTGGATAACGACTTAGAATATACTTTGGAAGGCATTCGAACTCAATAATTCGTTACTTAATTGCTAGAAATTACACAAAAATATGTGAGCTAAGAATGGATGGAAAGGACGAGGGAAATTTTCTAGTTTACGGATGAGGTGAAACGGTATATCGATGCTTTAAAGGGAATGAGATCTTCTGCCTTTCTCGATCATCTTTTTCGAATCGAATGGGAATTAATTCAACAGGATTTTCAATCCCACTCTTTATGCACAACACGCACACATAATATGTATTTAATGCATGCTGAAAGTAGTCGTTGTTCCTTGTCCGCCTTTGCCTTTAATCAGATGGCCAGAAATTATGGAAATGTTGCGAAATACAAATCAATGTCCGTTGGAGCGTCTCGTATGCTACATGCCTTCTTTAACCACTGTAAGTTTCATCTGAAATGATCTACTCCACACTATCCAAAAGTCACTTATTCTTGTATTTCTATTTAGTCTGAACATTTGTGAAGCCATCAAGTACATTTGCATTATAGGCAGATAGGTTCACCGAGGTCTCGTAGAAGATAAACATGGTACTACGTTTGCAAGACAGGAAGTTGGAGTAACCTAAATATCGCATGTTTTGCGTAGTGTTCCGTTTGAAGAACGAAAATATTAGTAGGTGTGGTAATGAGGAGCACAGTTTAGTCTAATGAAAAATATAACGAAAAATATCTTGAACAATTAAAGCAAGACATGGTTTCCTTCGGGTGACCTAACCACAATTTTCCAGAGAGATTTATTTGAATGCAATTTCGGACAGATAGTAACATTGTATTTAGCCGCACCGTATTGCGCTGAATCAACTTATTCCGCCAACTTGACATGATTTTCAGAGTCCCTTCTGATCAGTTGTATCCATTAGAATTTTAATTTCAGTTTCTCGTGAAAATCCCTCATGTCTCCTGTCCCTCATCTTTTGTTACTATATCTGACCTATGTTGATGTGCATGATTTTTATATGTAGGGAAGCACCCGGGACGAATTGCATTTACCACTGTGTCTTCTGATGTAATCACCTGAGATATTACTAGCTGTATCTGTCTTATTTACCGGATTATCTGTATCCAAGTCGCCCGAACAAAACTGGTGCAGATACTGCGAAATGAAAGTACTTTATTAATTCGTAAAATTCATCATTCGTACGAAAAGCCTGGATTTTGGATAATGGAAAAGCTATTTGCATTTCCCTCATCAACTATCTAGACTGAGAACCGGAATCGAACTGGTGACCTTCTTCTTACCGAGCAGTGGCTCTACCAGCTGAATAACTGCGGTACAGCCAATCTAGTTAGACTAATGCAACTGGTTATCCAATGATGATAGATTCAAGCGATTATTCATTAGGCCATGTTCAGCCGTGTGCCTTTCGTTGTTTTGCGAATTTACCAACAAGGGTGTTTCATTGAATTAAACCAGGAAGACTGATGTGTTTCATTGGAATGGCGGCTGCACACCATTGGATATTCATTTACTTTTTCGCATCCAATTGGTCGTACCACAATAGATCAACTGGTAGAGAAACTACCAAGTAAGCGAAAGGGTTCCTGGTCGATTCGGGCTCACGAAACGGACTTCTGAATTCAAAATACGTATGCAATGCTCTGGATACAGAGTTCTTACTATACTTTCAATGGGACAGGAGATGAGTTGTGTCAGATGAGTGTCGAATCAAACACTTTTTGCCCAAAGCGCTGTTTGATGCTCCATTACAAGCTTCGACTTACCGAATATCGGCAGTTTAGGTATCACACTGTTCACTATTATTTTGAAAGAATCAATCAGCTGGACTTTGATTTGTTGCATTCACGTGCTGAATGGTCGAGGATTAAGCGGGTTTGTTAAATGGCAGTAAACTGCATATGAAATATTGTTTAGAGAAAACCGTGGTCCACTGGTTGTTGTGTTCTACTGCGAAATTCATACGGCCATTCATTGTGAAAGTAACATCAAACATGAAAAGAAGCATATTTTTACCTCTAACCTCTTCCACTACAATGCGGTGCTGTTTGGAAATATAAAATTTGATCCACGTGTGCTTTTCTTGTTTGTGTTCCGTACTGAAAACTGAGAAGCTAAAACAGTTATGAGGGATCAACATAGTTTATATTTTACCTAATTCTGAGGACCGCACGGTTCACATATTTGGAGTTAACAAGAATAAGTAAGGTATTTACAAGGGACGATACGAATGAACGTAATCTCACTTGGTCAGCGTGCGACCGACCACCTAGGTGATGGAATACATTTTTCCAACACTTCCAAGTAGCGTTGTGATGAGAAAATAGTGGTGTTTACCACAGCACACAATTCAAAATGGCAAAATTTGTGCAGTCGTCTCACTAATCTGTTTTATCATGAGCGATTCTGCCATGATCGATTCACATGCGACTTGTGTAAACCGTGTCCTTTCTCATCATGTGCGTTTGTGAGTTGTATGCTTATTTTTCTACACATAATTCGTGCCTGTATGTCCTAATGGTCCCCAATAACTTGTAGGGAAAAGAAGTCTTACGATTCGGTTCATCTTTCTAACTGCAGAGGTTTTAATGCGAACCGTTTGATCCTTGGTACCCTCCGTTTTCTTGGTGGTGGTCTATCGCTGAAGTGGCCATGAATTCTTCTGCCCATGGCTCCAGGTTGATGGATGCAATCTACTTCTTAACCGCCTCTTTCTGTGGTCGTATCAGTCCGCTGGTAAACAGGATCTGGCCCAGAGCTTGTTACTGAATTGCTTTCTCTAACAAACTTGGATCATCATCAGTGTTTGAGAGTGTTAGGGTGTTACAACAAATAATATTCACACATGGAAATACTCAAACGCTAGATTCATGTGTATTATTTCATCAGTTTACCATAAATACAATATCCTGCAGGTTATTACTCAACATTTTATCTAATCGAAGCTCTCAAGATTTCATCAAGATCCAACAGGATGCATTATCGAGCTCACCTGTGTTTCTATCAGGCTCAATTTAGCTCCCTGGGGAAGTACGTATTTGACTCATGTACACCAAAAAACTATTCCAGTTCATCCGTTTCCAATCGGAGGGGTTGTATCTTAGTGAGCAACCGGACTCACCGTTCGTGTATCCACAGCTAATTCGTATTCCCGGATTTCCTTCTCGGCTTCACAGTTGGTTATGGATCAGTTCGTCACGGAATGTGGGACACGAAACACCGGAGACCACGGGGTAGGTTGTTTATCCACTATTCTCCTAAGTAACCAGTTCTGTAAACAAGATTTCCATCCAGTCTGAATGACTTGGATGATATTACAGTAAATCACTACCAGGATAAAATAAACACTTTGAAATATTTCACGAACCAAGCCTGCCATGTGAATTAAAACGCCAGGAGAACGTAAACATACATGCCCGAGTGAATATTTGACTAATTCTTATTTAGTACGATTCTCAAGGGACAACAATCATTGCTGACATGAAAGTTTGCCGTGCAAGAAAACGCAAACATGAGTACGAAGGGGTTCAAATGAGGACTTTGATTGTTCAATTGATATCATGGTTGTGTAACTAATGTCTGACGGGCGTTATTATGTACCAAGCAATTGCTACTTCTAGCATAAACGTAAATTATCCCGATTGATATGGTGTTCACTTTTCATCTGGCGATCGATAGATTAGAGGTCTCACATGTACCCTGGACGAGATTACAATCGACCTCAGACTATCCTGCAGATGAACGAATTAGGAGTCGAAAACACTCATTTATTTTGTGTCTGTACGGTAACGTGGTTGCTTCTCCACCAAAGAATGCGGTCAATTTGCGAGTCTTTCCTGTGTGAACAAAACAAGACAGTCACCTAGATTGATAGGTAAAAGCCTGCAAAACCAATTTGTTGTTTGTCTTAACATTGGGTTGTAGCTGGTCAATAAACGAGGGTAAAACACAATGCTATTCGTAGTGGGCATTACCACAGCAATGTTTTTATTTGTTACCACTAACATCTGAAATGTGTCAAAAAAATTTCGTGATATCAATGCTAATGCAGAGAGTAAAATTATCATTTTCTAATATAATTGGTATGCCAATTTGACACCAGTTAACTATAAAATACGTTTATCGAATTGTTCGAATAGGCAATTATTCAGTTAGCTCGTTGGTTAGTTGGTTAGCTCGGTAGTCGTTTATTCAGTTTGATTGGTTGACTAGTTAGGTCTCAATTAACGCCTGATTCACTTGATGCTCAACCGCATTGCAAGGTATCCTATGCACTTAGTTCAGGCGATCATTCCGCTTTCATCCACTGTCCTACTTCCAGACCCGATTTGATTTTACCATGTTCCAGCCTTCGTCAGGCGATCAAACCCGGAAAACAACTTCAGCTTTCCATTTAATGAAGGTGAGTTCAATAGTAATGGGGCTTGCACATAACTTGCTTGAGACGGAAAGATGAATGAAGATGCTGACATAAAATCTATCACAATATCCACACATCAGAGGACTTCGTGTGTAACGGACAATGTACAATAAGAACTGTTTTTCAATCCAGAAAGTTGTAAAAGGACCCATGGAGAAACCAAGGAATGAATGTTCAATTTGTTTTTGTGTTAAATACTTTTGTTTGAACAAACTGATAAAATGCACCATATATCCAAACAAAAACATCACAGCAAACACCAATGGTTGTGTGGTGAACTCGTAACATAACTTGACACTTCCCGTTCATTTCACAAATATCACACAGGTATTATTACTGAGCTCATTTTTGCACTAAACTTTCATGGAATGAGTGACATACAAGTGAGGCAAATATCTTCGCATTTATTGCAAACAATATGGAAATGTTTATGGAATGTTTGTTGAAGGAAGTCGGTGGTTAGGACAAGGCCAGTGATAAATCCTGTTTTGCTAGCCGCATGCAATCGTTAAGGCGAATAATTTTGTTCACACACTGAGGTAGTCAAGTGGATCAAGTGTCTATCACCTCAAAAAGGACAAACACTTGAGTTCCAGATTCACTGGTCACTGTTGTGGTAGACGGCAGTTTGTCTCTTCAGCTGACCTTTGTTTCAAGCCTTCGACTTTAGGAATTTTAGAGTGAAGCTGTTGTGAGTTCACAAAGGACAAAAGAATTTGACTGTGATGTATTTGCACTTTGTGTCTTCGAAACCGGATCAAATAACAAATCATACCAGCAAAGCGTAAGACTTTCCGCTCACCGACTCGTGATCAATGTATGCCTCAATAACTCTGGACTACCAAGTGTTAAATATAGATCCTGAGAATAGCCAAGGGGATGGGCTACACCTAAGGGTGCGACATTCGACAGACTTGAGTGAATACAATATAACTCAATCATCGAAGTGTCTGGCGAGCAAAGGTTCTTTCGACCAAACGACCGGCGACCAAATGTCCGGGCATGCATAATTATTATTATTGTTTCATCAAATTCTCGTTGTAAATGGTTGTAATAATCCACACATATTTCCAGCAAAATATTCGTGGTATGACTCCCACCGAGGACTTATAAACGGAAACTGTTCACAAGAAAGATACTCATAAATGTTCCAAAATTTTAATTACAGATTATGATAAACGAAAAACACAGTGATCTTTTGGTTCATCCACTTTGTACCGCTTATCTGACTATGAAATGGTATGTTTATTTCTTTGAAATGTATTATCTTTTTTCGTATAAGCTAATTCCAATTTGAGGTCATTCACAGTGTACTTGCGAAGTAAGGCTGTTTTAATTTGGTACTCGCATTCTGCTAATCCGAGTTAGCATATGTGTATTACGTTTTGGCTAGCTGTTTTTGGACTACATCTCTCACGTACAAACCAGGTCACCGTGAGTTATTTGGCATGTTTGTGGGTAAAGTAATCTGTCAGTTTTGAGCAGGAACTAAATCAATTTTTCTCAGAATCGAATAGCACCCTCCTGTTCCGATAACTGGAATACAACAGAAAATGAGATATCGTATTCAGAACATTGAAGGTGATTCTCTCTGTCACATTTGCATGGAATACACTACGAAAGAAAATCAAACGTGTTTTCACTGCATTTAAAAGGCAATAGGTCACTCAGTTGAAGAACATCAAGGAATTTGATTTATTCCTTTCTATTCCTATTTTCGTTTTCACAAGAATTACTTCGTCATGTGTATTTTTGGCTAAACAGCTAGAATTTCGCAAAGGAAACTTCATTGGTTTTCTTCGGTACCCAATATATAAACAGATGTTGCAACGCGCATGGAACAGACCTCTTGAGAGGAAAGAAATGGAAATCTGGTGTGTAGGATATAAGTGACATCTTGTGCATTTACGCTTATATGAAATAGTAATGCTTCCACGATGAAACCGATGTCCAGCGGTGATAATGTGACATATTTGTTCGTCAGTTATGTCCAGATTGGTTCGATTGTGCTCTGTTTCATGGCAAACACAGGTGCGGCATTATGGGTAAACAAAACTGTTAAACATCTCTCCAAGATTTTCAGCAATTCTCGATCAAAATGATGGATATCATAGGACAAGTTAACATCTTTCTAGTCACCTAATATGATTACAAGCATACACAAACACGCACACACACGTACACAGACAGATCTGGATGATCATCCCCTTTGTTGGTTTGAGTCATATTTAATGTTATGTATTGGTATGGGTACGAATAACTGAAAACGAGCTTGTTCACTACGCTGTTTTGTTCTCAATGTGTTCTGTGGGATTTTTCGTACATAGCATGATTACGATCACAAGATGTTTGAGTTCCCGTAGACTGAATTAGAATTTGGGCATCCGTAATCATGTCACTATTAACTACATCAATTCTCTGTCGCACGATAATCTGAGTACGTGCGTGCTTATTTACATAATCAGGGAAACTTATGGACGCTGGGTACAATTACTCGAGATGGTCTATTACGCAATGCTCTGCCTCATCATTACTCGGTTTGCGTTGAGTCAAATGCCCCTCACAGTGAACTACAATGAACCACAAATACAAAACTGTATGGAAAAGGTAAGTTCGAAAGTGCGTGCACAAATACAACTTCCGACGTGTAAGTGTGATGTACTGGCAGTATTCCACACACACATACACATACATGCACACAAGCACACTCACACACGAACAATCGGTGTCAACATTGTTTTCGAAACAGAAAAAGATTTAGCTCTATTCTTCCTCTACAAATAGCGTCTCATAAAGCGTTTATTTGTATTCTGAATTTCATCTTTTTATATGAGAAAACTTCAAGTTGAATGTTTTCATTATCAGGATGGGAATCGATCAACAAAATTGTGAAAGTGATTATTTAATTGGTTTGTGGTCATGCTCGATACTATTCCGTTCCAGTTTAATCGTGTAACAAATTATGTTGTCATTTCATGTATGGTAAGCATGTGGATGCAACCCCTAGGCCATGGCCCATGGGTGGGCAAAAAGACAGGTCAATGATGTAAACAAGCTATTGACAAGAGTTGAATACATGCGCAAGCGTGCACTCGACTCAGGCCAGGGAATGTTATTCGTTACGTGGCGAGATCGACTGTCGATACTGCTTGGGCCGAACTCCGCATCGTGTTTATATATATATATATATATATATATATATATATATATATATATATATATATATATATATATATATATATATATATATATATATATATATGTGTGTGTGTGTGTGTGTGTTGCAGTAGACGTGTTTCTATGTGCATGCGACTGGGTTAATTGGACAAACCAATAGCACAATTTAGGATGTATAAATGCATTAGGGAATACAGATTACGAACAGGTGATGATCAGTTTCCATAAAGTAAACCATACTGTTCATCACGGATGCTATTTGGCACATGTATCATCTTCATCCTCAACATTATTGTTATTATTATCATCACCATCATCATCATCATCATCATCATCATCATCATCATCAGCAGCAGCAGCAGCAGCAGCATCATCGTCATCATCATCAGCATCAGCATCATCATCATCGCAGAATCCTGCACTTCCATGTATCCAACAGTGTCAAATAGGATAAAGGGTGATTAGAAACCGCGAATGCGTGTACGAGCCAGTTGGGGATTGTAATATAAGTGGGAAATCATTTTCATGTGAATGAGCGTCAATGATCTAAGTAGCAGATAGAAAGTGAAATACAATCAAAATTGAAACTGTAAAAGTCAGAATAATAATCAATACTTTGCGACAAGCAAAACGTAAGCATCCTCAGTACACAAAACAGGTTTGGGCTAAGAATAATGCTACTTGATTGCCATGGGGATCCAACATGTCTCCTCCGAATAGGGTTAGTTATATTCTTTAGTATGTGATCTGGACTGGTTCGCATTATCTTCAAAACTTGGCTCGTCTGATACCTTAGAGTGATATATTTAACAGAAGTCCCTCCGGTAAATTTCCTTATTCCTCCGAACGTGAACTTCCAGTGTCTTTTCGTCACTTGCTTCCTGGATCCTGTTGATTGACTCTTTTGCCCACTGTTCCCTAGGAGCATTTTGATTACCCATTTGAACTACTTTCCCGGATTTTAAATGTCATCTTCACCCTAATCAACAATAGACTGTCTGCAACTTGGGTAGATATTCGCTTTTCCAGGGAATCCAAAACTCTTCGTCAATGGTAGACGGCTCCCATAAGAATGAATTATTTTAGGATTTCGGCTGAGCGACAGAATATGGTTCAGTGTCAGAGCGGCGTAATCTTTCGAGCCAGATGTTAAACTCACTGAGAACCTGTCAATCATAGTCTTTTCAACTTCAGTAAATGTAATTGATAACTCCTCGTCGTTTACTAGGCTTTCCGTTATGATTCAACGCATAATTCGCTGAACACTCCGGATCAACCACTTCCACACACCCCTTGGCGGCCGGTCGTGGGTACCTGAAACTCCCGCTTTCACCCTACGCTAAACAGTGTTCTCCAGATTCTTTCTTGATTCCATACCGATAGATATCTTTCGGATTCGCACTTTGCTCCTTCGGGCCACCGTCATCTCGAGAGCGAACCGGACTTCCTCCACGAGCGGCAAACCTGGCAATTGTACACAGAAATGACTCTGTCCTAAAGCTCTGAGCAACCTTAGAGATCAGAAGAACAATTTTGGCAATGAAAACAACTTTCCAAAATCGACTTTACTCCAGCGTGGCCATGCAGTTTCCAGTATCCTCATTGTAGCCAGGACCTGATTTGTTTCGAAATAGCCATTGATTTCATGATAAAAGTTAACCAATGGGTTAGTCATAAATGATTTCGGAAAATAATAACGGGATGCTTCACCCCGAAAGGCTCCACTTCCCACCTAAGTCGACTCACATTACTCTCTCGGAAATGAATGGGCTGAGATTAGAGAACAGACTTTTAGTATCATCCTTGATTCTCACTCCTGAACCCCTTTTACCATTTTCGTTTCCGTAGCGAAAGCCGCGGTGTGCGTCAGTCTTAAAACAGTCGTACACGAGTCGTTGATTTCTCGAATGGGAGGGATTTTCTCATGTCCCCGATGCAATCTGAGAAACGTTTCAGTCAAACTACAGCTCTCAGGAGGCAAACTTAAAATCCGTGATGTCCAAATCTGTCGGAAGAATGAAAATGAGCCTGGACAATTGCAGACATGAAGATTCTGGGTGATTCTCACTCTGATCACTTCATCGTACTGTTGCTCTGGCTTTCTTATCATTATTTAAAAGTTCCGGCCCCCAAAATGCGTGCTATCCTGTTGGCCTTTGACCGTTAGCCTACATGAGACGTATTCCACAGGATTGTTTCCGGAGTCGACGTAGCACTATTCACTACTTCTGGCAGGTCTCGAATGGCAGATATTCGGTTCGTCACGAAGGCCTGGAAGCGAGACATTTATTACAAAGCGTTTGCAGAACGATCTTTGAATCAATCGAGTACACCATTCGGTTCATGGGTATAGCCAAATCTTTTTAATCTGTAGAAGCCAGACCTAGCTGATATTACATTGTCAGTAAGTTCAGCACGTGGTATGGCAATGGTCTTTAGCGGCGCCACACGGGATTTGTCACACATAAGAATACAGCCAAACTGTACATCACCTCATTTGCACTGTAGGTAGACTGCTGCGCCATGAGCTGATTGACAGACAACGGAGAAGCAATGCATTTCTAATATATTGCCCGAATCTGAATCGTCTGTGGAAAATCTAGGTACCTGGAACATTCTGAATTGCTTCGTCTGACTTACCCATCTCTGCCACATGCGAAAATGATCTTTTACTGAAAGATCATTCCAATAACTCTTGGTTCTGAAAATTTCCTAGAGTACTAATCAACTTAGTACAATTTCGAGATCAATAAGTTCGAGAGGGTAATAAATCGAGGCAGTTTAGTACAGGATTGAACGTTTGGTCAGAAAAGTCGGTTCTCGTCTCGCATCGAAGTTGCGCAGAACGGATGTATCGTCATCCGAAACAACACTGGTGGCCTGTCACTCTCCAAAGTGCTTCTCCACAGTGATCGAAGACAGTCTCCATCTTCCTCCGGAATTTTGACTTGATGAAATATGAACTCGGTGTTGGCTGTACTGACGAACGTGCACTTGTGTAAACGAAGCAGCACTCCCATAGGACTAGTAATCACATCCACATCAGTGAGTAGCTGTGAGTTTAGAGACGCTGAGCAGGCTTGACATGTGTAATACAATACTACACATACCTTACCTGGCCTATGTGGACACACTACCGGATGATGGGGTAAGTAACAAACTGACACGTTGTTGGCCACAACGAACGGCCTTTAAGCACTTTTGACGTAACCCTTGTCTAGATAGTTGGAGAAAACCGAAGCACACATCTTTTCGTAATATATTCTACTCAGACTGAATTCGATGCAACGCATTTCGACCGTAGTGTGGAAAATCTCTCCCTCCTAGGTAGGGATAGTTTATAATGATCAATTATCTTTAGTATTAGCAGCCTAGCAATCTCAACTGTGCGATAACCTTCGTCTGATAAGTCTATCTCACTTGAAAATATTTCTTTAAACTCGAATGAGAACGAGGACTCAACTTTCGACTGGAGTTCGTTGTCACTCGACTAGGCGATCTGGTAGTAGCTTATATCATGTGACTCAATGGAACCCAAAGTAACAAGAAGAACCTAGCCGAACAAAGTCAGAGTAGCATAAGGTCCTGTGGACTTCCCGTGTGGTTCTCTAGAACCCAATGTGTAGAAGGTACATCAGTACTGCTTAACTTAAATATTAGCTGGTTGTCCGTTTCGTCTAAACATAGTCCGACTAAGTACCTCAGTCAGAAAGCTGCTTAACATCCAGTGTCAACCGAATGGTGGACGGAACTGATCGACAGCTCAGGACTGCACGAAGGTCTCTTAAGATCCCGATGCCATTGTACAGACACAAAACTTAACTCCACTGGCAGCTAGAATTTAGAGGCTGTACGAAATAGAAACATCGTATTTTATTTGAAATGGTTTTCAGTCCTAATCTCTCTGTGGCATCTTGCAGGTTTTTAATAGAGTCCGAGCCGTTGTTCAGCGAGGTGTGTACGACATATTAGGTTTTGATACCACGGAGCCTTACTTTCACGACAGTTAATTACTATTCATAATTATTGTTTATCCTTCTCCTTCTCTGTTTAGTTACTCATGAGTAGTGAGTACACACATCGTGAACCTCGGACATTCGTAATATATTTTCTTTCTCCTTCTAAGGGAGCATATTGGTATATACTCGCATTTTTGCGGAGCCTATTAAATGAGCAGTTCACATATTTATTCATAACTTCATTTGCCCAAAGGCTTGCATTTGTACTACTAGATAGTCTTTCTGTGTCTCAAATGTACAGCCGTGCTGAGGCTTAAGCTCTCAACATTAACGTTTCTCTCACAGCACTCCACCACCGACCACTACACACCAACGACATTAACAAATCTAGTACCGCATTCGTCCACTCATGTTGTCACGTGCTTCTGTCTATCCAACAGACTCAGCTTATTTGTACTCATTTTTTAATAACTCTCTTTCGTATCGTAACCACAGTCTAATTCACACCTTTGTAAGTGATTTAGTGATTTGTGGTGGTAAAAGCCATTTGATTTGCTGATTGTACCGTGACCAAACTGTACTACAGTCCCGTTCAGCTGCTTACTAAGTGAACAGTTTTCTTTTCTGCGCTATCCCGAACTTCCAAAAGTTTCCGCCCTTTGTTCTTGGTTTCTTACATGACTGTAAGTCTTTTTTGCTGTATATTTATGCTTATTGTACTGTTTAGAACCACGAATTATTGGCAAACACGGTCATTCAATTGAAATTGTTCTACTGCCCGTAACCGTGTTCTGCACATATCGTGCGTAGAGCTATTGAGACTAAGTTCCTGCTAGATTGACAGTCCTAGAAATCGGGATAGTCGAAACAACGACCACTAACGAAACAGAACCACTGGTCACGACTAAATTGTAGCTTACATTCGATCTGACTATGTCGTCTACTCTGACCGGTTTAGTAAGATTTTCAGCCACTACATGCAGCAGGGGACGTTGCAAAGTTCGGCAACAGTCTACGCCAAAAAACTTACGTGAATGGTTTTGGCTAACAGTGAGTCTTGGGTTCAACCAAAGCTCACACAAAGCGAAAGTGTGAACATAACTTTGGCGAGCCAACATTTCCATTTTGATGTACTTGAAGCATCGATCTAGGTAATGGTATGGGCCGTAGCACGGACAAGTGGGCTGAACTGAATCGTTGGTCACTCGTGACAGTTTAAGTCAGTGAACAGGCTGTGTCTCCTCTGCCTGGGTTGTCACTGTGCATAAATTTAACTTACATTGGTAGCTGTCAGAACGGACAGGCCTATCTAGAGATTGCTTGCTTAGACTTCAGCCGCGTCGGCCTGGTCTTGAACAAACAGCGTTCACTCGGAAAATTTTTGCTGCCCGTCATTGGAAATAAATTTCACGCCCGGTCATTATGGTGGTCCCGGCCGTCGGCTGAATAAAGCACCCGAAGTGCTTCCGATGGTAGTTCCTCATTATTCTCCATGCATTCACTCACTCCTGTTAATGCTATTCACAGAAGTTATAAACCACATTCTCCTTACCACTAGGCCTTGGATTTTTCTACAACTTTTGATCATTTTCAGATCTATGGGGACGTGTATCATTCACCCTTCACAACTGCTACTTTGGCTTTTGCGACAGTCACTTGCAATGCTCACGTTGTTGGAAGTTTGATCAGAATATCAAATGAAGTAAGTATTTTGTGAGATGTGTTCCGCTCTGATCCTGTAATTTTCTCTTGCCAGATTTTTGCCACTCCAAATTACGGGGAGGATAACTTGCTAAGGCATTTCGATGAAACATTTGTAGATAATTAGTGATACTCACCAATTTTCAGCAAATCCTGAAGAAATTCGTAAAACGGGTTCCCCATCAGTTAGAGACCATTAAAACGGATCGCTGGAGAATGAAATGATTCGTAACTTTTGAAGTCTGCACTAGTTGGGGGCGCTGTCTAGTTCGATTTCGCAATGATATATTTGACGTGATACTTGAAAACGGTAAACCTTCTTAAGTTCGACAAACGACAGACTTTGTATTACACGAAATATTGGTTTTGGAAATCTGCTAGCAAAAGAAACTGTGAGGGAAGTAGTAGATATGAACAAAGAAGCCCTGAATTGTTGGTTAGACGCTCAACTCCTCCTCGTCCAGAATCAAGAACAAGGTTGAAATCAGCGAAGCAGACTGATGATTTGGTGAGCAGACAGTGAGTCATTTCTTACTCGGAATGGAAGACAAGATTATGGCTAGCGAAGCCGGATGATGGACCAATCAATGACCAACAGTTGCCTGGACCGACTGGAGCTGAACCAACCAGTCGGGTTGCAACCAGACCAGCCAGTCAGAAGAGTCGCTCATCAATAACAATGAAGTCAATATGTTTGCATTCAAGGACTTGGTTATGGTCACCACATATCTCATATAAGTGATCTATTTTGTTCAAATAGACCGCGGTGGTTCGAAGGCAGAAAAGTCTTCATAGCGGAGTTAGTGGGATGGATCAAAACAGAAACTGCTAAATATTGAACACTAATGATTGGTAATGTGTGAATCACGCACCGTAGAATAAGAATTGCAAACAATAAAAGAGATACAGTTGATCGTTTCTCGATGTGTGCGATCGGTGGCAATCGGATAGTTTAGACCGTTATCCGACCACATCGGAGGTTAAAGGATTGAATTCTGCCACTAAACGTTTCTTTGGTATTGGACAATAATTCACAGAAGCCGAACCTGTTAGGATATTCTTTGATTCCCTTCCCCTCCATTTGTCGGGTTAAAGTTGCCCGTTAAATTGCTGACTTGTTTTGTATTGCACAATTCTGTAAAGAATATCGATTTTCACTTGGATCTTACTTACTGAGATCGATCTCTCTCGGGGGCAACTTACTGCTTATGCAAAATTATCGATTCCTGTCAAATAATGAACATGTTCATATTGCTTCCTAATCTCAGCAATCGAGAGTACTCCAATAGCAATTTATTAATCTCCAACCACTTTCAAAGATCATTTCATGATCAAGTTGTTTTTAACTCATTATTTTCGATTGAAATTTAATGTTTGTTCACTGCAAGCTCAGTCAATAAACTCATATTGCTGTATCATGTTTGCTACTAAGTCACTCTCGTAACTCTGTATGATAATGAAGACGAATTTTGTTAACCCCATTCGAAATTCCTATTCACAGCGTTGGCAATATTTTACCAGATGGATCAACTGTTGGTTGCTTCTGTTCAATGTGCTCTTCATTGTCAATTGTGTCCTCAACTTGACCGGTCAACATAGCCCTGCTTGCGGTGCACTGACTGTGTTTGTGATGTTCATGTCCTGGATGAATATTTTACTCCAAATGCTCCAGTACGTTACTTGGTAACACTTTATATTTATTCCCAGATATTATCTGCCACATCAAAGTAAGTGGGAGATGTAGTAAAGCTCATGTTCTATTCGTTATTTCAAACGAACGGTCTACATACAGGATCTCCATTTGTGGCTCCTATCGTATGAACTTGTTAGTGTGAACCGGAACACATCGGCCCGACGTGGGAAAGAACTGTGTCAATGATTAGACAAGTTAAAAATGGAACAACCAATCATTGTCGGGTTTTACCGCGAGTTACCAACGAAATCCCCGCCATCGAATGAACAGAGAAGGCTCGACTAAGTGGACAGATGCGAAAGTGCATTCTATATATCGAGAAATATATGGAATGCAAACGAAAGCAGCGATGAAGCAGAAAGCAAACGGCAAGCGTGTACAGTGGGTGACAACTCGAAAGTGAAAGTGATTCAAAAACGAGGTGAACGGAAACCTCGGAAACGTCAGTTCAGTTAAACATACGCAACCGAGCAAAACGGTGAGGTCGGATCCAAGCGTCAGAAAAGATCGTGTGGAAAATAAATCCAAAACGATGTCCAGAAAACGGTCATTTTATGGGCAGGATCGAGGTCACTACAGGCTAACATGGACGTGGGCTGCTTATGCCTGTTCAGCTGGTAGATATAAAGCAACACGCGCTAGAGAGGCGAATCATTTGGATGGCTTGCTTGACGTGTTCACGGACACTTTTGTCTTTGTTTCATATAGGTTTTGCTGACTCCTTAGCGAACGATGTCCAGACGATCTTGGTTCGTTTCTTGATTGTCCAAACATTATTCTTCCCCATTTTATTTTCTAACTTTCATGTTTTTCTACTCCACTCTATTTCCTTTTACAGCTATCGCTCGATTGGTTTATTTGTTGTCATGTTTATCCAAGTCAGTCAAACGATAATGAAAATGGCACCAATATTTTGCAGTTTGTTTGTCGCTTTTGCGATCACCTTTCACAAACTGCTCATACTACCAGAGGAAAGTGTAAGTCACTGGTGAATATAGTAGTCGTAATCATAATCACAATCATGATCTAAATCATAATCATACTCATAATCATAACATGTGAGTACAGTGACCAGCTTGGCCACTATTTAATTCCTTTCAGTAAATAAACTACGTTAATTGTTTTTCTATCGTTTCGTGGTCATGGTGCAACAAAAATCAAATCTGTCACACACACACACACACCGGTACCAATCAAGGTCATTCCGTGACGGTATTTAAGTGCGCAGTTATCTGGCTCAATTTCAGTGTGTGAGTCACGTGGACAACTGACCAGCTTGTCGGCGAATGATTCCTCGCTTTCTCAAATATGTTGTTCAGCCGATAGTCGACTTAAAACAATAGAATGTTGTAACTGTTATAGTCATGTTTACAAAATACAGAACTGAGTGTGTTTTGGATGATGAGGAACAAATTAACCAATGCCTTTTCAACGAGGCGTATGGAACGGGTAAATCATAACTATTCTTCTCTCCTAACGATGACTCAGTGGATTTCAATAATCCCAACATGACGAGAAAAAATCTTAATTATTCACTCTTTTATTATACTCAATAAATTGCTTAGCAGTTTACTGGAAATACCCTATTACCGTTCTATGCGAACAGTCTTCCCCAAACAACCTTAATACTACCTCCGCAGTTTCTGATGGCAAACCACTTCTGCTGCGATATCCTTTGTAAGTAACTGATATTTTACCCAACAGCCGACCAAAATACTTCAAACTGAAAGTCCCGGAGAATCAACGCTTGTCTCTCAGTGAATAAATTTCACACACGCACGGAGCCGGAGTGACAGCCAAATAGAATATTTTCGTAGATCTTACAGTTGCTGGTTGCGGTGGCGGTTAGAGAACGGCCTACTGTTCCTCTTATGGAAGAAGAATGGAAACATAACATCAGATAAAAATAAAAGTAACCATATGACTTTGATTCAAAGTTAAGTCGTTGTAACTTCAACCGAGTCGTACGTAACTCCACGTGAAACCACCAAGGTTTTCATAGTCAATAAGGTAAAAATCACATATCTTGTTTATCAGTTCAAAAAACTGTTTGGAACATATACGAGTGAGTATATAAATACCTCTATGTAAAAATAATACCTTAGGTCAACAGTGTGGAAAAAAGTACAGGGGAGCAAAACAATAATTTCGCTAGAGAAGAAAGGAAGATATGAGTATAGATTCAACGGGAAATTGTCTGAGCTTTCGAGTTTGAGAGATAAAGCATCGATATTTGTGCATGCAAGTAATATTATGAGAAGATCAGTGATTAATGTCACTCCGAAGTACTCAGCAGATTCAAATCTATGTAGCTGAATATTGTGTGGGGAATAATGATTATTTTGTAAAATATGTGCGCTACAGGATTGAATTACATTAAAAAACTAGGAAGGGTTGACGGAGAGACTTCTCGGTTCCGAAGAACTCGCAGTGTGTGGGGTGCGTGAACTAGTACTCTACTTACTCGCGACTCTGGTATTTTCACTTCAGAGGTCTCGCAGATCCGAGCAAAAGTTGTTGCATTACAATATATATATATATATATATATATATATATATATATATATATATATATATATATACATTGTATATATTTAAATCGGATCCACCCACGAGTTTAGAAATTATTGAGAGCAGCCTCTCCAACCATGAAATGAAGTTTCATGAAGTTTCACTTCCAGTTCAGACTACCGAAATATCCGTTTGACCAGTAGGAACTAAAAGGCTCAACTCACCATTTTAATATACGGAAGTGGTGTACAGTAGGGAAATCGATCTCATTTAAAACTTCCTACTTCTCACACTGATAACGTTTCCAACTTTTGGAAGCTGTTTGCACGCTTATTGTCATCAGTCAACTTGGGATTCTTACGGGGTATACTTCCATACTCAAGATATGCTAGTGTACCACAATGATTAGGTAGCTGAACTGCCAAATTAGCTAAAACAAAATGGATACTCAACGAACCACACTCATGTGACATTCACATCTAGGTCATGTGTTCTAAATAAACCGAAAGTTTCATTCCAGCTCGCCTGAAATATCCACAGAGAATAAGCAAATAAAGGGCAAATTATTCACTTATTATCCTCCAACTGTGTTCCATTTGGTTTTGCTTTTTCCTGTCAAGCAGACACATGGTAATCACTTCGCCAAAAATAAATGATTCTGATATGATCAATATTTATTCATCAGTAACTACAATCACCTTTGGAGAATTCTATATTCAAAGTTTTACCAATTTCTGTCTTGAAGTTTCGGGACATTTAAATTGGCTGTCAAAATAACACAACTTAAACTGCAAACTGGTAGCCGTATAGCTGAAGTTACCAACAAAATTTCGATAAAATTTCGCATTCCAGCGCAGCTTTGTCATATAGTGATCTTCTCTGACTGGGAAACCATCAAAAATGTCTATGAGAAAAATGGTCTGGGGGCCTTAGATCAAAATAAACTGGTTAGACCAAATCCGGCGTCATTGTCTAATGTGTGATTGAATCAGATAGAAAGTGCAGCGCAAACATAGCCAAGAAAACACAATAAAAGTGGAACGAGGTTTCGGGAGAGAAACAGGAAGAACCTGAACATGAGTCAAATAGTCTTGAACTCAATATATCTACCAAAAATGCAGATGGTGAGATGTTTTGATGCAATATTTACAATGTTCACTCAAATTTCTATTCCATTTGTTCTTCATTTCTTGAAAGGAATACTTACACTATCCAAGAGAGACGAAAAATCGATTGGCCTATTGTTTCATCGGATACGAACACTTGAATCGCTCTGAGGCGGAGATCCGAAGTCGACCGGAGATGCAACTTCCAGTTAGAGCATTCGGAAATGTGAATATGGCACTCTTTCAAACATTGATGATGATGCTTGGTGAATACGAGCATACAGAGGTGATCACCAGGCCCTATTTGGATGGATTCTCTGCCACAATTTACACGGTCGGACTGACATTTGCGTTCTACGCGGCATTCGCTTTTACAATGCCTATATCACTGGTGAACCTAATGGTGAGGTATACATGTGGACCAGTTAATCACTTTTACCAACATCTTGAGCATTCTGGTTGTATCCCAACAATGGACCGGTGACTATTTTCTGTGATTTATGCGTAAACTTACGCTACAAACAACGTGATTGTTGGTTACTGCTGGCAGTCACTGGTTTTAGGCTTTGTCCAAAGATCGAGATAATATACCGTATTCATTCATGAGGCACACGCGAAATCATTTGCAATGACTTTTTCATAAGCATAAATCTGCCGATTGATGTATTTCCTTCTAACCGGTAACTCGGTTCACAGACTCACTCACTCGGTTAAACTGCTACGACACAGGGTATCAATAAATCTTATTTTACTTTCATCACAAGTGGCTAAATACAACAGGTTTTGTGTGTATTGGGTTGGAGTAATGGAAAAAACGACGACCGGTGTCAGTTACACACCAAAACATGGTGGTACTCCCAACTGAGATATGTAATGTTAATTGTCATGTCGGTTGCACGCAGTTGATGACTAGTTTGTGATATCTTGAGCTGATGACTAGGATGGACTCATAGACCATTCGGTATTCCTAGGAACACAGAGGGGTATCGTTCAGCCGAATCACAATCGCTAGAGTTCGTCTTTTACTGTTTCTTTCTGGTCCATCTTTAGTGGTGTAGATAGGACGACAGACCTCAATGGCTTCCCGAAAACAATTCGATTTCTTCAAAATGATGATAATTACGGTTTGACCACTCCTCACTAGTTCTTGCTTCAATATGCTTTCAAAAGGTCTTCTTGGATTTCGACTTAAGTAATTTGCTCCACAAGTGCATTTGAATTGTGACACGATGAGAGTCGGAATCCGCGAATAGTCAGTCTTTCGGTTGTAAGGGGAAAAGTGGTAGAGAGGAGAACTAGGCACGAGATCCAGCAGAGAATTACGCACAATTCGATCGCAATTTGAAGCTGCCTAATTTTTCCGATGGCCTCATTGTCTCCCCTTAGAAAGAGAAACCTCTTTTCTTGATTGCTTACCTCCTGATTTTTCAAGATGAGAAATTCCGTCTGCTAGAGTGTATGTTCACATGCTCACTAATTCATTCGTGTACTGAAACACATATTGGGCGTCTTGATAACTTGATTCTTCTCACTCTATTACTTGACTACCAACCAACCTGAGCATGTGGGTATGCTAATGATTATTTGCTGCTCATTTACGGGTTTGTGGACTACCCTCGTTTGACTACCAACTCAACCATGACTTCACAGTATTTGGAGTCTCCTGGTGAAAAGAAACTCATCATCAGACCGGATTGTTGTGTGATTGTGTAACAGTATTATCCATACAGTTCGAGTGAGTGGAAAACATCAAATCATGGTATGCTGGCTTCAAACGATCAATCAAAACCTAATCCAAGGAGCACTTACATTATCATGAGCGGTTCAAGTTCAACACTGGGATGATGCCCCATACACTGATCATGTGTCTCAAGACTTGGGGAGCAGATATTCAAGAGCCAATGGGAATGCTAATCGATTCATATCATGTAAATTAGACTGAAGCCTAGAACAGTTGGATCTCACAGTTTGATTAATGTACTAAATAGCTTCTCGATAGAAATTAACATCCATGCATGAGGTAACCAGTCATTCAGGCCTATGCATTTAGCACCAGTCATTCTTCGGTCTGTCAGACTTCGATTCCAACAGGCCTACTAAAATAATCAAAGCGTAAAAATACGCATTTCAATTTCTGTACCCTACTTCAGGCAGCTACTACCCTTTTACTTAACTGACGTTTATCAACAAGAAATCTCATCTATTCCTTGTATTCTAAGCTCTAAACTGGACAGGGAAACGCAGTGACTGTCACCTTCACATGTCCACCAATATAAATCGCCTATGTGAACCTAGAAAATGCTCGGTACACAATGTCAACAAACCAAGCTGAAGGCCTGGGGAAAATTATCAGGTTGCTATTTTAAGAGGGGTCTTCTACAACGTCAAATCTCCGCGGCACAATCAATATTTATGGGTTCATTACCATCATCTACCGATATGGCCCGAAACGAGAGAAGCGAACTATTACTCATATTAGACAAGTACTCAACGTTATTAGTTGATGTTTTCAAAAACCTAGGGTCCTTTGATGAGAAGAAGATCATGGACCTGATCTTTATGTGATAGTGTAGTGGCTTTATTCACTTAAAGAAAAGAAAAAGGGGTACTGGCTTCAAGCTATCCGTCAAGAACTAAGCTAAAGCATCTTGAATTAATTTATCAGATCCCAGATCCTTTCGGAGTGTATCGAAAAAACGACGCGCCATGTGATACGTTATAGGTAAGTGTTTATTGTTCGGTAACACAGCATTATTAGAAAACATAGTAGTCAGTCGACGCTTCGGTTACCACGGGTAACCTTTCTCAAGACCAGTTTGCAATCGAGAAAGGTTACCCGCGGTAACCGAAAATTCGACTGACTACCAACGTTTCCGATAACGCTGTATTACCGAGCAATAAACATTTACCTGTTAAACATCTGGGTTGGCGGAACAGACACTCAATACATTACGACGTGTTCTGGCCTCACTTTGTGAAATGTACCATTTGCTGTGTACAACCATGTGGTCACACACACGTATACAGTTGACGTTTGGGGAGTTTCGTCCAATCAGACTGCATCACGTGTTGCATGACCTTGCGCAGCTTGATCCTGTTGTACGATGTTTTACGCTTCCGATTTCATACGTCACTGAATTACGCACTTGCACACGTGTTTGCTCTTCACTTGCGTGCTTGTACTGGCGTTTAGAGTACGTTGCTACAGAATACACGTTCACCCGTACAAATGAGCCTTCATTCTATTAACCGAATTTGGAACACAACACTATTGACAAATTTTATCGTGGTCCTGTGATAAACCCCAAAAGCTCTTCTGCAACAGAGAATAGTATACCGATGAGTCCCTGACTGTGTTGTGTATCTCTTCAATAGTGAATACGTGTTTGGTAGTGAGATGGTTGAATTTCATTGCATAATTCTTTTCTTTTCGTTTGTTCGTGGAGAGGAATGAAATTCGAAAGTATACCGAATGCACCATAAAGAATACGATATCGATCACAACTAATTCGTTGATGCATGATAAGATTGAGTCGCTTTTAGAGCGCCCGTTGTTTCCTTAGATAGTGAGTTTCATTTTCAACACTAACGTGAAACTATCTTTTATTCGTGATCTGCAATGAATTGTGGATTTTGCTCACAGATTGGTCTTGCAGTTGGAGATATTGGTCAGATTCAACGATCTGCTACACTTCAAGTGGTCGCACAACAAGTCTACTGGTTGGATCAAGTGGAATCAAGGTTGTCGAAGTGGCTGCATAAGAAAGCACAAGTGAAACACTGGGTTATTCGACCACCTCTCACATTCAACAGACGAGTAAGTGAAACCATGGAAATAAATCTCCCTGAACCAATTTATTTCGGTCAGGAACAACAATTGGTAGTCGAAACCGGTTGTTGGAGTCTCAGTCAGATTATTGATTATGGGATGTTCGTTTTTGATATTCTGTTACCATTCTTATTCATATTAGCTGATTGCAAACCTTCGAAATCTTGAAAATAGATTTGTGTCTTCGTCATTTCGGTTGGATGCAATGTAGTCGAAAAAATACTATATTCCGATTTGTTTGTTTGTTCACAGAATGGTTTGAAGTAAATATGTGACTTAATCATTAATTTGCAAGTTTGAAATGGACGTGTTTAGGAATTGGTGTTTTCGGGATGAGGTTCTATCAGCAAATACATTACATGAGTGCTGAAGTCCCTTGCGTCACTTCACTCCAAAGAATGTTTGATGGATGCAACTGACTGCTTCTCTTTTCATCTATCGTTTTACAGAAACCTCACACAGTGGAATTGAAATTTGCGCTTACCAAGCTAAACAAGGAGTGAGTGAAAACATGTATTCGATCGAATTCGATTGTAAACTCGGTTTTTAACAAAGCATTCGAAGCGAATTATGATCACCGAAAGCCCACCATCAGTGGCTGATTCAGCATTACCGTACACTAATGGAAGAACACCACCCCTCTCCACTCATCTCATCTATTGTGACAATGTCTCTATTGTCCCGATAAGATGTATGAGCACAAGATTGGGGATCGGTGAGACAAAATTTTGCCCTCCATTTATGCCGTTCTAATGACTATGGAACTATTCAAAATATATATAGCATACAGTACCCAATATTTCACATTTTGTGCACTCAGAGTGGAACTCAGTTTCGAAAGTATAAGAAATGCTAATAAACCCACTCGGTGTTTCTATTTTTCTGTGATTTATTCTAAACTGAACCATTTAGAAGGACCAAAACTGATGTGATTATTTGTCAACTTACTACTATATCACAATGCACACGGATTTGATGTGTGGAACTGATAAATGAATTTATTCTCTTAAAGGAATTTGAGAGGGTGCGAAATGCAAATAATCTCACGCCTAGACAAATGGCTAAAACTATAAACTGGTCGGGAAAAGCAGTGATCTCTGTTAATAAATATTGAAATACAATATCTAAGCATGCTTGCCATTATATTCGGGATGTTCTCAAGTCATTTGCTGTCTCATTCATCGAGAAAGACCGACTCCAACTTGCGCAAAGTGGTGAAGACTCTTCCTTTCGCATAGGATCACCTAGCTAATACACACCATGCATTTTCAATCAGGTTCAAGTCTGGACTGTGGGCAGGCCAGTCCACGGCCATGATACTCCGGTACAATGATCACATTCTGATGGGGTTGGCCGTAAGTACGGATGTATTTCATCTTGAAAGGTAACGGGCCTCAGTCGATTAACGGAATCATTGGGAGGAGAAATGCATTCGATATTCTCATGTATGCTTCAGATATCTGCTTCTATTCTAGAACTGCTAGATGAGAATTTCCTTCTTCGAAACTGCACTCCGAGACCATCACAGAGCCATCCCCAAAGACAAGATTACTGAGTTCCAGCTTGCTTTCCCTGAAATTGTACCAGTAGTACATGATTCCATGAGGACCACCGAAATTAAACATTTTCTCGCCGCTCAATATCCCACTATCCCATTCAGCATCACAAGTAATGGGATATCTGGCACGTTCCTCTTGATCTTGGAAATGAAATACAGTCATCTAAGGCATCCACTTCACCTTTCAGTGCTACAAATGTGGTGCAGGCTATAGAAGTTTATTTGGATGCCGAACACACACATTCGGTTCTAAAAACCTCTGTAGCTTTGACTCACTCGTGAGATGGTTCAAAGCACCGCGCAAGAGTCCCTTCACGGACTGATCTGGATAATTGTCTTCGAATTCCACGTTTCCCCTTAGCCAAATAAGGAATTGAATTCTTCAAAATTTGCGAATTATTGTCGATTTGGGCATTTTCTTGGGATTTTGGCTATCTTTAGCCCCATGTATTTGTATTCCACTAATTCTCCTTGTTCTAGATCATATAGCTTTGGATTTCTCGCCATCTCTTGGTTTTGACAAGTGAGAGGTCTCTACTTCTAATTCGAAAGCACTATTCTATTGAAATTCGTTCGCGAATCACCAAAGACATGGATACTGCTGAGCCAAACATCACTGAGAATTGAAAATGAGCCATTACGGACTAAGGTTGGTGCGCTTGTAAGCCAGTTCGAAGTTTGTATCGTATTTTCAGTGGCAGGTTTGATAAAATTTCGCACCCTCTCAAATTCCTTTAAGAGAATAAATTCATTCATCTGTTCCACACATCAAATCCGTGTGCATTGTGATATAGTAGTGAGTTGACAAATAGTCACATCAGTTTTGGTCCTTCTAAATGGTTCAGTTTAGAATAAAACACAGAAAAATAGAAACACCGAGTGGGTTCAATGGCATTTCGTGCACCATATAACACTTGGTCATTGTCTGTGAAATATCTAGAGCGACTCTAAAGAATTTGATGTCTTTCATTTGCATGAACCATGATACCTCCAGTACCACTGCAAGTGGAAGCAAGTGGGACTGTTTGAAATAACTTCCAATAATTGATTTCCGCATGTCATTTTCACCTTCATCCTTTGATTGTGGATACGCACGGGATTTCCTGTTTGCAAAGTCCAGTCAATGTGAATGGAAGGTTATCTCATCAATTATCGATGCGAATAAATTCACCATAAAATCTTCGTCGGAGAAACTCTAATGCTCTGTCACGATGCCTAACTGAGTAGTTGTTGAACATATATGAGTTCTCATTGACTTTGCCCGATATGAATTGATGAAATTTCCACGAACAAGAAGGCACTTAGCAAAAGATGGTTGAATAAAACTGCAATAACTTTATGAATTACCACTCCCCTATACATGCTTCTCCACAAGCTCTTCAAGTTTCTTTCATTGTAATTCTTGCTTCCCACATAATTTTACTTTTGGAAGCACTATTTTGCGTTTTTGTTATAAATTCAGAGATGATTCAACTATTATAGGAAAATGTGCTTCCGTCATGGTTCTTCTGTTTGTGCTGGAATTTTTCCAGTTATATGGGTTGCGAATGGTTGGTTGTTCGTTGTTGTTGTTCCTTAAATTGCCCCGGCCTCTCTCCCTATCAGTCTTGCGCGAATCAAACGTCGAATGGCGTACATGGAAAGTGTCCTAGATCAGACGGTTGAACAGACTGGGATGGGATCGTATAAAACACAACAGGATGTTGGAATTTACAGTGATGTGAGTGGTATTAGCGATTATTCCATAGAACCGAATTTCCACTTTGTACGTCCGTGAATATTTCATCCAGATAAACTACGGATTTCTATGTGAAATGAATGTACGACCTAATTTTTTGCGCTAAAATTCTTCAAACGATAGAGTGAAACCTTCGAAACATAGTAAAATCGTAGGGCATAACATAATCGCATTACGCAGAGTATTTGCATAATTCACGAGTTAGTCGCACTTGGTAGATCGACCCATGCTGTGGCTTAGAAATACACCACTATTTCCGCTGACAGTCAAGGAAATTGAGATATGAAACTCGGTATTGTGATGTTAACCAATAGCCAATCCACAAATCAAAATGCTGTGAAAATCATGAATGAGTAACCAGTGCGAATGCCATTGTTCAAACAGCCGTCTTGTGCATTACACCCCAGAAACACATACTGCTCTCCGATAACAACGCAAAATGACGTCTTATGCACAGTGGTCTGAAATTAGTTTCATATCAGGTCACAAAAGAACCCCATTAACATAATCAGAACAAAGGATGTAGGTGAACATCTGTTTTCAATGACTTGGTTCTCAAGCCATCACAATAACATTTACATGGTAATGAAATGTGCAAGGACCTGATCAGAAGAAATAAAAGTGTCTCATTGAACATTTGAGAGATGAATGTGTGATGAGTAGGTGGACAATTTGTTTTTGACCTAGCAACGCTTACTCGAATGACTGGGTTGCGTAGCAGGTGATAACTAATTTACGTCACCACTAAGCTATTGTATGGTGTAATCGATTTCCAGTCAGGATAGTTGGAGTGTGGGAACCAAATTTCGTTGCGTGCATAGTTCCGACCTCAACAGACAAATGCCTAATACTTCGGCAGTTGCAATTGCCCAAAGCCCGACTGAACTTCACTGTGACTGGCTCCTTGGGTTGAATAGGCCGACTTCATAAATGTCGCTGATCGCGACTGCCGATGCTAGGAGGTTTGCCGCAATCGTAGCGTAGATAACAGAGCGTGTAGATGACGTGGTCGTGAATTTTCATGGGTGTTTTGGTGCAGTAGACCTCTTCGGCATCACGGCTTTATTCCGCGGGCACACCTCTGGCATTTGCACAAGCAACTGCGGGCTACAAAGCAGCAGTGCGTTCACGTATGGTTGCCAGTGTCTTCCTAGGAGCAAGTTATCCATCAAATTGAATTGAATCCGACCCAGAGGTTCATGCAGCCCTGTTGGTTTGGTGGATTTTCTCTACAGTCGTTAGTAGACAGTAATTCTTCTCCTCCCACTAAGGCAAACCTGTCTTTGTATGCCGAAAACCGTTTCACCGAGGTTTTTGGACCTCGGCAACTCCCAACCCGTTTTATCCCACCTGTGGAGCAGTTTCGTGGGTCGTTGCCGCAAATGCATTATTTAGCTTTGTGGAGCCAGATGTAACAGTTTGGTACATGATGGAGACGAAAGAGATGTAAGATACCCCAAGGCCACGACAGTTCAACAACTCAGAGGTGCTACTCGTATCAGATACCACATGCAATCCTTTGTACTTGCTGCACTCAGATAGATAATACACAGTTCAGTTGTATTTTCCGCATCCAGATGTCCAGTACCGGTAGCCCGAATCGAACCGGTGACACTCAGCTTATCGAGATGGTCTACCAGGTGAGCTATCGCGATACTGTCAGTCGGATGTGATTACCGAAAGTGAATATCCACTGATGCGTTACTACTATTCCAATGATGCACAGCAGTGCCGCGCTGGACTTTTGGAAGCGAAAAATACAGGCGAATTTTCATTATATATAATCCGGGTACCTTGTACCGACACGGATATGTTTCACTGTCCATTTGGTGGCATTCAGTCATGTGTTGCTCGTATTATTGGAAAGGTACCAACGGAACTAGTACAGTGATTGAAAGGCCTACAGTTTCTGTCTCACTGGAATAGCGGATGCGCATCCTTGGATATTCACTTGCGTTATTCACACGCAGCTGACCGCATCGTGGCAGCTCAGCTGACAAAGCGTCTACCCGGTAAACGGAGGGTCACCGGTTCGGTTCCCCTACGCGACGCTGAAATCTTGAGTTGAAAAGTGCAAGTGAATTTTCCATTACTGAAGACCTAGGTGCCTCCTGTCGAAAACACATTCCACGAACATGTTTTTATTTATTTTGCAGCAAATGTTTCTAGAAACAGCCAGGTTTTGTGTAGTCTGAGACAATCAGTTAAGGGAGGATGACCGTGTCACACTACTCTGTATGCAATTAGGATAGAATAAATTTGTATGGATTTCTCATGA